CATAGAATACCAAAAGAATAAACAAATCTGATTTGGAAAAAGTGCAATCAGAGTGCTCCTTAGAGGTAGGGTTGGTGAGACTTCATCACACATACTTTGAATATGTTGTCAGGAGGGTCAATCTTTAGAGAAAGACCTAAAACTTGTATAAATGTATGGACAGTGAAGGAGAGGAAGATCCTCAATTGGTTGGCACAATGGCTGCAATAATGGGTTTGAGCACAGTGTAGGTTGTGTGTGTATAGCACAAATTTTAGGCTGAATATTGCTTTGAGGTTGGCTCTGAGTTGGAGCCAAGTTGATGGCACCTAACAGCACAGTTGAGCATTGTAATGATGATACAGAGCTGGAGAATTGTGTTTTGGGTTTTTGATACATGGAGTCACATGAGTTGGAGTAATCTAGACAACAACTAACAAGTGAAATTTTTTTCTGCTTGATTCTTTTTTATTATTGTTATTATTAATGTCAAGAAAAATTTACAGAGACTTTGGATTTCTATTCATTCATTGTTGCATTTTCCTCCCCTTCCAACCCTCCCCGTCCCCTCCAATACACTCCCCTCTTGGAAAAGTAAAGGAAAAATTCTTTCATTGGTTTACAATCCCTCCCTCCAGGTCCACTCCACTATGCAGCGTTCACTCTGGACTCCCATCATGACAAAAATACCTAATCACATATCCCTTTTAAACAGTTTTCTCCCTCCTCTGTTTCAATGCAGTATACATTATTGAACCCATCTTACTCAGTCTCCCCCCAACCCTGATGTCAGTCTTGTTTTACAACCGTGGCACCATGCAATATTTGTCCTTTTGTAACTGAGATATTTCACTCAGCATAATGTCCTCCAAGGTCATCCATTTTGAATAGTATTGCATGAGTTCCCTGTTTTTCAATGCAGAGTAGTAGTATTCCATTGTGTGAATATACCACAATTTCTCTATCCATTCATTTGTTGATGAGCACTTAGGTTATTTCTAACTCCTTGCTATTGTGAACAAAGTCACATTAAACATGGGTGTGCATATATCTGCTTGGATGTCAGTTATGGTCTCTTTGGGATATATTCCCAGTAGTGGAATTGCTGGGTCAAATGGTATTTCTATTTGCAACTTTTTGAGAAAGCGCCATACCGCTTTCCACAGTGGTTGTACCATTTTACACTTCCACCAACAGTGAATAAAGGTTCCAGTTTCTGCACAACCTCGCCAGCATTTGTTGCTTGCTGTTCTGGTAAATTTTGCTATTCTGACTGGGGTGAGATGATACCTCAGAGTTGTTTTGATTTGCATTTCTCTTAGAGCTAGGGATTTTGAACATTTCTTCATGTGCTTGTTAGGCATCTGAATGTCTTCTTTGGTGAAGTGTCTGTTCATATCCTGTGCCCATTTTTCAACTGGCTTATTTACCTTTATTGTTTTGGTGCTCAAATATTTTATATATTCTACATATAAGTCCCTTATCTGGCATGTCATTACCAAATACTTTTTCCCAGTCTGTGGCTTCCCTTTTTTACCCTGTTGGAGACGTTTTTGGATAGGGTTTTGATTCTTAGAAAGTCCTATTCATCTATTTTATCTTCTCCTGGTTGTAGGATTTTCAGGATACTTGGAAGACTGTTTATGTTAACAAGTGATTTTTAAATAAGACATGCATTATGTTGTGGTTCTAGGCTATCATAAGTCTCACTGAGTTATAAACAAGGCATTGTTGGCAGAGCTGTGTTATTCCCAGAAGCTGGGACAGAATCTGCTTTCTTGCTTTTCTAGGTTTTAAAGGCTACCTGTATTCCTGAAGGAAGCTCCGGTGGCAGAGCCCACGGGAGTTGCTTTGCTGACCCAAAGGCTGTTTAATTTGGTAGTTCAAACCCACTAGAGCCTTTGTAATAGAAACATAGGCAATCTCTTCCCAAGTGATTTATGACCTTGGAAACCTAGGAGAGCTGTGAGTAGGTTCCCACTCCATAGCAATGATTTCTTCATCCCTTAGCTGTGATCTTTCCTCCATCTTCATGAAAAGCCTAATCTTTCTGACCTGCATCACTTTGACATTGACTCTCCTGCCCCGACTTTCTATTTTTAATGACCTTTGTCATTAGGTTGGGCATACCTGGATAGTTCAAAGTAATATACTAGTCTCCTGGTCAGCTGATTGTTGTTGTTGTTGTGTACTGTAGAGTTGAAATTGACCCACAGCTGACCCTCCAGTGGGTTTTCAGAGGCAGTTAAGTGCATGGGAGGAGATTTCCCATCCTTTCCACAGAGCAGCTGATGGCCTCAAACTGTGTGCCCTCAGGATTGCAGTTCAGCTCCTTGCCTCTAGACCACCAGAGTTCCCTGGTCAGCTCATTATTGTTGTTGTTGTTGTTATGTGCAGTTGAATTGCTTGCGACTCATAGCAACCCTGTGTACAAGAGTCCTAAATGCTGCTCTATCCTGTGCCAGCCTCACAGTCTCCGAGACAATCATTCCCACCACCCCAATCACAGAATCTATCCATCTAATCAAAGGTCTTCTTCTCCTGCGCTGTCCCTCCACTCTGCCGAATGTGATGTCCCTCTCCAAGGACCAGTCCCTCCTTGCAACATGCCCAAAGTTTGTCAGACGAAGCTTCAGAATCCTTGACTCCAAGGAGCATTTGTTCTCCTAGCAGTCCATTGTATATTCAACACTCTTCTCCAGCACCACAGCTCAAAGGCATCAATTATCTTTTTATCATCCCTAGTCACTGTCCAAGTCTCCGATGCATAGCACGTAATTGTGAGGACTATAGCCTGGATCAGGTGCACCTTATTCTCCAGCCTGATGTCGTTGTTCTTCAGTAGTCTGGAGAGGTCCCTAACAGCTAACTTTCCCAGTGCAATTTATCTCTTGATTTCCTGGTATCAAGAGTGTTGACTGTGGAGCCAAGTAAACTAAAACTGTTAACTATCTCAATCTCTTCACCATACACACTGATGTTGCCAATAGCCCAGTGGTGAGAATCTTTGTCTTCTTGATGTTGAACTTCAATCCGTATTGAAGGCTGCAGTCCTTGACCTTCTGCAGCAAGCGCTTCAGGTCCTCCTCAGTTTCAGCAAGCAGGGTTGTGTCATCTGCATAACGCAGGTTGTTGATGACTCCTCCAAGCAATCCTGCTGCCCCATTCCTCCTTCTACAGCCCAGCCTCTTGGATGATCTGTTCTGCATACAGATTGAAAAGGTATGGAGACAATACATCCCTGATCAGCCCCCTTATTGATTTTGAACCATGTAGTGTCTCCTTGCTCTGTTCTGACCACTGCCTCTTGGTCGAAGTATAGGTTTCTCATAAGCACAATCAAATGTTCAGGGATTCCCATTCTTCTCAGTCAGCCATAGCTTGTTGTGATCCACACAGTCAAAAGACTTTGCATAGTCAATGAAGCACAGAAAGACATTCCTCTGGTATTTTCTGCTTTCTGCCAAGATCCATCTAACATTAGCTATAATATCCCTAGTACCACGACCTTTTCTAAATCCAGCCTGCACATCTACCAGTTCTTTGTTGACATATTGCTCCAATAGTTTTAGGATAATTTTCAGCAGAATCTTGCTTGCATGTGATATTAATGATTTTGTTCGATAATTTCCCCACTCTGTTGAGTCATCTTTCTTTGGAATGGGAACAAATATTGATTGTTTCCAGTCAGTTGACCTCCAGGCTGTCCTCCAGATTTCTTGTCACAACTTAGTGAGCACATCCAGGGCAGTGTCAGTTTGTTGAAATATGTCAATTGGTATGCCATCAACTCCTGGAGCCTTGTTTTTTTCTAATTCCTTTAGAGCAACTTGAACGTCCTCCTTCATCACCACAGGCTCTTGCTCATATGTTATTTCACGACATTCTTTTATGTCAACCAAATCCTTCTGATACAGTGACTCTGTGTACTCCTTCCATCTTCTTTTAATGCTTCCTGGATAATTTAACATTCTACTCCAAGTATCCTTAAGTATTGCCACCCATGGCTTGAATTTGTTTTTCAGCTCCTCCAGCTTAAGAAACACTGAGCGAGTTTGGCCCTTTGGATTTTCTGACTCCCGCTCTCTGAACATTTCATTATAATATCTTGCTTTGTCTTCCTGAGCTGCCTTTTGAAATTTTCTGTTCAGCTCTTTGGTTTCTTGGTTTCTTCCTTTAACTTTGGCTTTTTGGCGCTCTAATACAATATTCAGAGTCTCATCTAACATCCATTTTGGTCTTTTCTTCTTCTTCAGCCTTTGTAATGATCTTTTGCATTCTTTGTGGACGATTTTTTATATCCTCCCAGAGCTCATTTGGTCTATGCTCATTGGTGCTCAAGGCCTCAAACCTATTCCTGAGATGGTTTTGAAATTCGAGTGGGACAGACTTAAGGTAAAATTTCGGTTCCCATGGATTTAATTTTCCTCAACTTCAGCTTGAACTTGCATATGAGTAGTTGGTGGTCTTTCCCACAATCAGCACCTGGCCTGATTTTCACAGTGGATATTCATCTTCTCCAGCGAGTCTTTCCACAAATGTAATTGATTTGATTCCTATGCATACCATCAGGTGAAATCCATGTGTATAGCCTGCATTTATGTTTCTTATAAAAGGTATTTGCAATGAATAAATCATTGAATGTGCAGAATTTTAGTAACCTTAATTACATCTGCAACCTGAATTTCTTTTGCTTGTAACTATATAGTCACAGGTTCCACAGACTAGATCATTGCCATTTTGGGGAGTTGGCAGGATTATCATTTGCCTTTCGTGTGAGAGAATATGAAGCATCCCACATATGCCCTTAAGCCGAGACTCCCCTAGTCAAGCAGTCCATCAGCAGGGGCAGAGTTCTGGTTGTTGGTATGCACCCACTGTTTGAGAAGCATGCTTCACCTTCCCATGTTCACTCTTCTTCTCATTGCTGAAGTCAAGATGACAAAATAGATCACATGCGGCTAAAACAAGATGCACTGTGCTTTGCTCCTTACACTGATTTTTATCATTTATTTTTCTAGGAAGGAAAAATGAAAAGGCTTGTAAAGGAGCTCCTAGAACCTGTGCTTTGCTCGAAAAATTCCCCGAGACAACAGGATGCAGACGAGGACAGGTACTCACACTGTGCTCAGCACTGGGATGGGTTTACTGGGAATGAGGGAATGCTGATTTTCACAAGTGAATGATTATTTCTCTTGATCCAGTGAATACCTTCTTTTCTCACTTTGTTTTTAATGAAGCAAACTTGCATGTGGTTGACATCAGAATGGAGGGTGGGCAATAAATGTTCAGTGTTTATTGCTTGGTGGAAAATGTGAAAGATTATTTTCAGTTCCCACACAAAGAAAATGAAAAGAAGTTCTGAGTCTTGCAAAGGCTTTAATTCAAATTGACAGTAATTTTGTACTGTCACTTCAATTTAGCAATTCCTTCGCACTTGATAAAAGACTGAATGTTGGAGTGTTACATTTTTTTGTGCAGATCAAGTATTCTGTCATGCACCCGGGGACACACGTGTGGCCACACACAGGACCCACAAATTGCCGGCTCCGAATGCACCTGGGCTTGGTGATCCCCAAGGAAGGATGCAGGATCAGATGTGCTGGCGAAACCAAGTATGTTTCTTCCAATCATTTGCAGCTCATCCATCACCTCTGAGGATTGGTGTCCAGAGACAATAAAGCTGAGTGTAGTTACTTATTCATCTTCCTTTCTAACCAAAATAGACTGCAGGGAGAGGATTTAATCAGAATTCCTTAGTGCCTATGCTTTGCTGGTACTTTCTGCTATTCTGGAAAGACTGTTCAACTCTTAGACTGCCCTTTTTATTAACTCGGCCGCAGCATGCTCACCTGGCCTGCTAGCTCCTTCCCTCTCTCCAGGGCAAGAGAAATGCGTTCAGAGTCAGCTAACCAACCTTGAGCATTTTTACTTATCAGACACTTTGCTATTTGCTTTACAACTTAAATTATTTATAAATACAGGAACTCTGAAGGAAACTCTGGTAATATCTGTGTGTTTACTCTGAAGAAGGCAGCATAGTACAGTAGAAAACAACTAACTTTTACAGAGTACAATTCTGCCACCTAATTCCATCAACCTTAACCTTTACTTTACTTAATCCCTGTTAGGCTCAGGTACTCCTTACTTATAAAATGGACCTTGGGAATGTCTACTGTACAGGATTAACCTATGATTTAAATTAAATATGTGTCCAAGACACATATGCTAGCCTGGGTTGTAGCATCAGTTGGAACATAGTTGATATCAAGGCATTTTCTCTTCTCTCTGCCTCTCTTTTTCCTAATCTGTGTGTTAATTTATCATCCTGAGAACAATCCAGATTCAATCTGGCTTCTGTGCCTATAATTAAGTTACTCACTTTACATGGATCATCCTCCTTTTTCCTTATCCATAAAAAAGCATATGTTGGTCTTACTGCTGTGGGGGGGGGAATTCTTTTCAGGACACTGGCCTCTACCTTCTTTGGATCTTTATTATGTGATATCTCCATATTTCCACAATTGAGCTATAAATTCCTTTAACGTAAACCAAATTGTTGTCTTCCTTTGTTCTCATTGCACATGAGAAGGCCTCAGTGGAAGATGAGGTTCTGGAAGTCTTCCAGGTTATTAATTGGTTACTGCATATACCTGTCCTACACACAGTACAGAACCACAAGGTACTTCGAGAAATTTAAAGAGGAGTAAGGCAGTGGTATTTGTCTGCCAAATATGCCTGTTTGGAACGAATAACTATTCGTTCTCTCGAGTCAAGTATGACTAATGGGAGCAACCTAGTGTGCACAATAGAAGTGCTCCATGGTTCTCAAGGTTGTGACCTTACAAAAGCAGAATTCAATGCATTCTAGATAGATTTGAACTACCAGCCTTGGGCTAATAGTCAAATGCTCAATCATTCACACTTTCCAGGAACTATAAGCAATTCTAATAGAAGATCAGATGTCATGAAAGTCATAAGGAAGGCAAAGATCAAATGCTCCAGATGGGTCAGTGGCAAAGAGTCACCTATAGCTGAGGCTGAGGAACCCTGCTGCAAGTGGTGGGTTTTGAAGATGGGTAGAATTTAAACATTAAACATTGAGAAAGAGGTATTCCAGACTGAAAGAGCTGCATCTACAAAGGCTCAAAACCAAAAATCATAGGCACAGATGGATGAATATTGAGTTGTTTGAGCTTCTAAGAGTGTAGAGTACAGGTAGGAAAGTGAAGAATGGGATAGAAGCTAAAACATAAAAGGTTTGAAATACCAGAGTGTAAGAATAAGACCTCTGCTGGGAAATTATTCTGGCAGCTGTGGGTGAATCAAAATGAAGGGAGATGGGATAGACCATGAACATCAGGCTGACCTAGTGACCCACCCAAAGGGAAGGGAGCTCTGCAGTGAGGATCCTGGACAGAAAAGGAGAGGAAATGCTGGAAATAGCAACAAGACTGACTCAAATGAGTCTTTAGAGTTGGGGGTGGGGCATGGCTAAGGGAGAAGTCCACACTAGTCTGATCGGGGGAGGATGGTAATACCCTAGAAAATACCAGAAACATGGGAGAAATGAGGCACATTCAGGCAGAAGGAAGAGAGAATTCAGGTTTTGTGTATCTTATTTAAGTAGTTCTTGGAGCACACCTGGGGGAATGCCTAGGAGGCAGCTGGAAATGAAAGCCTTGAGCTCAAGAGAGAAAGCTAGAGTTACAGATTTGTGAGTCAGAATGTTCTAGAAGAAGTTAGGGGTAGGTAAGTGATGAAAGGAAGGCAAGCAATCCTCAGATAGGTCTCTAGTCATGAGGTGGTACAAAGAGGAAGACCATGAAGGATATAGGGCAGAAGACAGGTAAGCATTTCTTCTGAAATTAAATGACTCTCACAAAGCCTTTGCGAAACCAGTGGACAGATACTAGCCAATGTTGTTCTTTCTTTGGGTCTTCAGGGTCTCCCTGTTAAAGGAAGAGGGGCAGGGACATAATCGAGGAGGAACTTCAGAGAATATGGAGAGGGAAATGGGATGATGGGAGAGACTCTAGAGATAAGTGAGCGTGAGGAGGTGGAAAAGATGCAGATCATCAGGCCTTAGTGTGATGATAGTTCCAGAAGTATGGTAAGGTTTTTAAACTGTATTCTTTCTTTATTTCCTCTTTTTCTTTTTCTCTTCCTTCTTTTTCTTCTTTCTCTCTTCCATCCCCCTCCTTTTCCCTCTTTCCTTACTTCTCTCCATATATATCCCTCTTTTTCCTTTTCTCTTTCTCTCTCCCTCTCTTTCCTCTCCTCTCCTCCCCTCCCCTCCCCTCCCCTCCCTTCTCCTCCCCTCTCCTTTCTGCTCTCTTTTTCTCTCTTTCTCTGTCTCTCTTTTCCTTCCTTCCTCCCTCCCTCTCTCCTTCGCTCCCTCCCTTCCTCCCCAGGGACTGGCCTCACCAAACAACATGCGCAAAGAACGTTCGCTGGAGTTTCACCATCCTTGCCTCCAAAGAGCACCTTGGTTGCCCTTTTCCCAAGATGCTTATGTTGGTTTACTTGGTAATCCATTAGATAGTTAGTACTCGTCTCCAACACCATAATTCAAAGACAATGATTCTTCTTCTGTCATTCTTGTTTTTGTTGTTATGTGCCATCGAGTCGCTTGCAACTCATAGCGACCCTATGTAGAACAGCCCTAAACTCCACTCTGTCCTGTGCCAATGGCACTGTCTCTGACACTCCCATCCCAATTAACCCAGTCACTGAATCAGTCCACCTCATAGAGGGCCTTACCCTCCTGTGCTGTCCCTCTACCCTCCCAAGCATGATGTCCTTCAACAAGGACTGGTCTCTCCTTACAACATGTCCGAAGTATGTTAGATGAAACCTCAGAATCCGTGCCTCCAAGGAGCCACCTGGTTTAACCCTTTCCAGGATGAATCTGTTTGTTTTCATAGCAGTCCATGCTACATTCAATACTCTTCTCCCGCATCACAGCTCAAAGGCATCAATTCTCCTTCTATCCTCCCTAGTCATTGACCAACTCTCTGATGCATAACAAGTGACTGCAAAGACCATGGCCTATATCAGATGCACCTTAGTCTCCAGAGAGACACCATTGCTCTTCAGTACTTGGGAGAGGTCCCTAACAGCAGACTTTCCCATGGCAATGTGCCTTTTAATTTCCTGGCTACTGGTACCAAGAGTGTTGACTGTGCCAACACTCTAAAGCACACTAAAGCTGTGAACAATCTCAATCTCTTCACCATCCATCCTGATGCTGCCAAATAGTCCAGTGGTGAGAATCTTTGTTTTCTTGACATTGAGCCTCAATCTATATTGGAGGCTGCAGTCCTTGACCCTCTACAGCAAGCGCTTCAGGTCCTCCTCAGTTTCAGCAACCAGGGTTGTGTCATCTGCATAACGCAGACTGTTGATAGATCGTCCACCAATCTTGACCCCACATTTCTCCTCATACAGCCCAGCCTCCGAGATAATCTGTTCTGCATACAGGTTGAGAAGGTATGGAGATAGGACGCATCCCTGGAATACGCCCTTCCCAATTTTAATCATGTAGTGTTCCCTTGCTCTGTTCTGACGACTGCCTCCTGGTCCAAGTATAGGTTTCGCATTAGCACGATCAAGTGTTCTGTGATTCCCATTCTTCTCAGAGTCTGCCACAGTTTGTTATGATCCACACAGTCAAATGCCTTTGCATAGTCAATGAAACACAGATGGACATTCTCTGGTATTCCATGCTTTCAGCTAAGATCCATCTAATATCAGCTACAGTATCCCTAGTACCACGACCCCTTCTAAACCCAGCCTGGACTTCTGGCACTTCTCTGCTGATGTGCTGTTCCAGTTGTTTTTGGATAATCTTCAGTAGAATCTTGCTTGCTTGTGAAATCAATGAGATTATTCTGTAGTTTCCACACTCTGTTAGTTCACCTTTCTTTGAGATGGGAACAAATATAGATCTCTTCCAGTCAGTTGGCCAAGTGGTTGTTCTCCAGATTTCTTGGCACAACTTGTTGAGCACGTCCAGGGCAGCATCTGTTAGCTGAAATATGTCAGTTGGTATACCATCTATTCCTGGGGCCTTACTTTTTGCCATTTCCTCCAAAGCAGCCTGAACTTCTTCTTTCATCACCATAGGCTCTTGCTTATATGTTGTTTCATGAAATTCTTCTGTGTCTGCCAATTCCTTTCGATACAGTGACTCAGTATATTCTTTCCATCTTCTTTTGATACTTCCTGGATCATTCTTAGTTGTTGTCCAACTTTCAGATGCAGAGCAAGCAGTTGTGAAAGGCATGGCTTAGATCAGGTGCACCTTAGTCTTTAAACTGACATCATAGCTCTTTAACACTCTGAAGAGGTTCCTGACAGTGTTGTGCCCCAAATCCAGTTCCCCCCAAGTCACCAAGGAGCCGACACTGATGCAAGGGCAAGAGGGAATTTATTTCAGATTCGAATCCGGGCCACGCTCCAAACGGTGCCAATACATCAGGGAAAATGGCCACGGCCCCAATTCTGGGCTGTCCCGCCTATTTAAAGGGGAAAGCCCGCAAAAACAGGGCGATACAGGATTGGCTGATTCAAAGGAAGGTCGTGAAAACAGGGTGATACAGGATTGGCTGAT